CCGGGTATCGATCGTCGCTCGGGTCCTTGTCGTTGTCTCCGCTCTTCATGTTTGCAGCTCCGCCACCGCGACCGCCACGGCCTCCACGGCCTCGTCCTCTCCCTCCTCCTGCTCCTCTACCCTCTTGGCCTTGAGCAGGGGTCCAACCATCAGGGAGTTTGTAGCAGTCGCGCCACATGTGTCCGCTCTTGTGGCAATAGTGACACTCGCCGTCGAATCGGCCGCGACCGCGTCCGTAGCACTTGTCGTCGCTGCCGTAACCGCCACTCCTGCGGCCTCCGCCGAAGTTGCTGCCACCAAACCTTCCTCCCCCTTGTCCTCTGCCTCTTCCTCGACCATATCCACGGCCGATGCTCGCTGCCCCAGCGCCATCCGCACTCGCCAACTCACGGCGGCGGAAATCCTCTTGAAGGATAGCTCGCTTCACGTCTTCAAGCGAGAGGCGGGGCAAGTCGCGATTAAGGTTGATGATGAGCGAGGACCATGACTCTGGGAGTAAGGCCAGCAACTTGGTCTTCTTTTGGAGCTCACTGTAGTTCAAATCAGCTCCCTCAAGCCGCGTCAACAAGTCGAAGAATTTCTGCACCCCTTCTTCAACCGCTTCGTCTTCTTCAATTCGTAGTGCCGCCATTTGCCGTTCCAACACCACCGCTACCGCCGCTGTTGCAGGAGCATGTACACCCTTGAGAGCAGCCCATGCCTTTGGTCCTTTCTCTGGTTCACGCTGGAATGGCTTGATGTGACGGATCTGACTGCTCCCCAACGCTTGCCCAAGTAAGAGATAGCCTTGTGCGCTCTTCCGCACCCACGGGCTCTTCTCCGGGTCGTTCTCGGGGCGCTTCTCCGTTCCTTCCATCACCTCCAGCAGGTCATAGTGGTCAAAGATGTTCTCCATCTTGAAGGACCATTCAGCAAAGTTGTCACCGTTGAACTTGTCAAGCCCAAACACCCTAGGCTCATCCCTAGGTGGGCCAAGACTTGGTTGCATGGGCGCCATGGCTGAATCACGGGGTTGGCCTTGAGCTCGAGCTTCTCTACTGCCACCAGCACCTCTGCCACCCCTTTCCTCAGGTCCTGACATTGTCGAAACTGCTCCAAGGGGCTCTGATACCACTTGTTATAGTCACAATAGGCTTGAATGTGCCTAAAACGAAAGATAGAGAGCACAGACGGATTTCTGCACAGCGGCTTCAAACGTTGATAGCGTTCTGCTCACAGCTGCAAATGACTTGATTCAAATTGGATCTGGAGCGTCTTCACGTCTTCTACAATTAGCAATTTAGATTGCACGATTTGATAAATAATTGACGACACAGCGTCGGTTTGAACGAACGGTACTATGGCAGCCACTATAGTCTTAGAACACAAGATAGGAAGAGTTACGAGTTGGGAATGACTCCCAGCTCCTACAAACCCCAAGAGCCAAGGTACAGTGATGTGGAACAGTGCCACACTGTCCCCAACCACGAAGGGTCTCGAAACTACCCTTCACTAGGGCCTACACCAAGTGAAATGTTACACTACACAAAGTAATGTAACTATCTTCAATATCTTGAGGTGTACCCTTTTGGCGAGCTTCGAAATCACTTGAGGCTTGACACCAAGGCTCGGGCTCTTCATCACAAACTCATCCTTGAGTTCTTGATGGGTCTGCTGCACACACCTGCGACATGCCGAACGTTCGACACAGGACAAAATAGAAACCGCGCACGACAAAATAGAAACCGCGCGCGAGACACAAACGACCGCGTAACACGCGTCTAGCGATAACTCGCTATTGACTCGACACACACACTCGACATCATGACTCAACATTCACACACAATTATAAGCATGAAATATATATTATCCCATGCCCTCATACCATTCCATACACACACACATTCACGCACACGGACAACAAGCCGAGTGCAAACCGTAGGGTTGCACCAACACTGGGAGTGCTGGAGGTAATACTGGAGCTACTGGTGCTCTTCGCCACCTTCTCACTCAGTCTTCCGCCAGCTGCTACTGAGTTCCCTGTCGCTGGTAACACTCCTCCGTTACTGTTCCCACCAACAGACCAGTCTCAGCCACAGCTACTGCCTCACTCCCCACTGCCTGCTCCTGCTCCTTACACTGCGGTGATAGAGTCCCTGACTGAGCGTCGAGAGCCTGAGACTCGTGCTTCCACTCCTGAGCGTCGAGAGCCTGTGACTAGAGCTTCTGTCCCCGCTCGTGTTCCTCGTGTTCGTCGTCCTCGTGCTCCGGCTGTTCTAGGCACTCACGATATGACACTCCGTCCTTCCTCTGTTCCACAGCGTGTTGTCTTGTCGTCACCTCCTGCGTCTTCTCTTCCTGACGTTGCTGAACCTCCGTCTGACCTTGCTCGTGCTTCCAGTCTGACTGTCACTCGCTTTCTTGCTACAATTGTGACGGACCCTACGTTCTCGTCTCCTGCTGCGTCTGCCTTAGTCTCTGAGCTAGTCGACTTTGCTGATGCGTACCGGCTAGACTACCTTGCGAGTCTTGTTTCAGGCCTGTCTTTGACCCTGCCTGTCCTCCGTCCGTTGGGGGTGAGGTTGCCCTTGGCTGTGACGTTCTTGAGGACACGCAGGAGGAGCTGGAGTGCCTTGCGGCCGCTGTACCTCATCTTGCTGCAATGCTGTTTGCCCCTGAGGGAGACCCGGATGCGCTTGACATCCCCACCCCGCGCTCTTACAGAGAGGCGATCTCGGGTAAGTAATCCTCTCAGTGGCAGACAGCCATGGACGCAGAGATGGCTTCCTGGAAGTCCACAGGCACCTACGTCGACAAGGTTCCCCCTCCGGGGGCGAACATCGTCAGTGGCATGTGGATTTTCAGGGTGAAGCGGCCGCCGAGTTCTCCGCCTGCCTTCAAGGCACGTTACTTTGCTCGAGGCTTCAGTCAGCATGAGGGGGTTGACTTCTTTCAGACCCTCTCCCCCACCCCGAAGATGACCACTCCTCGGGTGTTGCTTCACGTTGCAGCTCAGCGTGACTACGAGCTGCACTCCCTCGACTTCTCGACATCTTTCTTGCAGGGTAGCCTTCACGAGGCCTTGTGGCTGCGCCGTCCACCTGGCTTCACTGGTTCATTTCCTGAGGGTACCCAGTGCAGCCTACGGCGGCCAGTGTACGGCCTGCGTCAGGCGCCCCGTGAGTGGCACGACACACTGAGGACGACACTTGCGGCTCTTGGGTTTGCTCCATCGACTGCTGACCCGTCGCTGTTTCTACGCACCGACACTACTCTGCCGCCGTTCTACATCCTCGTGTACGTCGACGACTTGGTTTTTGCTACTGCTGACACTGAGGCACTGGCCCTAGTGAAGTCGGAGCTGTAGGAGAGACACACCTGCACTGACCTGGGTGAGCTGCGGAGCTATCTTGGCTTGCAGATCACCCGGGACAGAGCACGGCGCACCATCACCCTGACTCAGTCACACATGGTGCACCAGGTCCTTCAGCGCTTCCGCTTCACGTACTCCTCGCCACAGCCCACTCCTCTGGCTACCGGCCACTCGCTCTCAGCTCCACCTTCGGACGAGTCCGTAGAGCCGAGTGGTCCGTACCCAGAGCTTGTGGGTTGCCTCATGTACCTGATGACGTGCACACGACCTGACCTCGCGTAACCCTCTCAGCCTGTTGGCTCGCTACATGGCTCCCGGTAGACACCGAAAGGTGCACTGGGATGCTGCGAAGAGGGTACTGCGTTACTTGTGCAGTACATTGGGCATGGGGCTTGTGCTTGGAGGACGGGGCTTAGTTGTACTCACAGGTCACTCAAACGCTTCCTGGGCCGACGACCAGGCGACTCAGCGGTCGTCACAGGGTTACACTTTTAGTCTTGGCTCTGGTTCTGTCTCGTGGAGGTCTACTCGTTCGTTTTCTGTGCTTGGTTCCAGCTGTGAGGCCGAGATCTACGCTGGGGCTATGGCTGCACAGGAGCTACGCTGGCTGACCTACCTGCTGACCGACTTGGGGGAGCGGCCTCGTTCTCCTCCAGTTCTGTACGTCGACAACAAGGCCATGCTTGCCTTGTCTCGCGAGCAGAGACTGGAGCACAGAACGAAGCACATTGCTCTTCGCTATTTTCTTGCTCGAGAGCTGCAGCAGCGTAGTCAGCTCCGCCTTTCCTACGTGGCCTCTCGGGCCAACACTGCTTTTGTCTTCACCAAGGCCCTTGGGTCTGGTGATCGTCATCGCTTTTGCACTGCTCTTGGGCTTCTGCCCACTCTGCCTCACCTGCTTGTCTCTTGATCTTACCTTGCACTTGTTGTACACTGATATAAATACTTATACCTGCTTCTTTACACTTGCTAGGTTGTGATCAGTGTATTGCCTTGCTATTATAACTCTGCATGTGAACTGGCCTTGTGGCCGCTTGCTTGTGCTCGGAGTGTTTGGTGTCCTTGAGATCCACCCTGAGCTTTGTTCTGTTTGCTTCTCTTGATTGTCCCCCACTTAGCCTATAGGGGTGTGTCAAATTGCAATCTTACTTGCTAGGCTATAGTGGGGTACTCCTTACGAGGTACAACCCCAATTAGGGTTAGCTATACATCCCTGTACTGCTTTGATTCTAGTCATTCCTACACAGATTATTCTGACAACATAGGCTAGGTGTGCTCTCTGTACTATGTTGGTTAGGGTTTGGTAAATCATTCTAGTCATTCAATTCAGTTTACTTCTTAATAGGTTACGGTATTCCTCTTTTTGTCCCCATCTCTTCTCTCCCTTCCCTCAACACCCCGTGCGTCCCATCCCATCCCTTCCACCGTAGCCCCCTCATCCACTCCCTTCCTTTCCCTTCCCCTCACTTGGTCTTTCCTTTCTAAACCTCTGTCACTACACTACTCTTTCTACTTGCGTACCCAAGGTTCAGGTAACTGAATAAGAATCTTTTCGCAGGTGTCTGCTAACTTCAAAGCCTGCGATAATCTTGCATTTTTTTGGCTATATGGGTACAGCCATTCATACTAGTAAGACCTAAGCACTCTCTTAGCCTCCCGAATCCCAGACAAATACCCTCCATGGACACTGGCTCTATAAGGTCCATTTGTATGCTCCCCCGCAAACAGAAAGTTCTGCTCTGGTTCTGCCAGCGTGTCGAAATCCGTGGTAACATCGCCATTTCCTTTCATTCCCAGCCTTCCGTAACTGTACGCACCTCGTGCATATGGGTCCAAATTCCACCGCTGTAACCAAACCGCATGCGCCTTTGCATTCCTGTATTTTGGGGACATTACTTTTATCTTGTTAACCGCATCCCTTATGCACTCCGCCTCGCTCATTTTCGCCATCCGGGTTGCATACGAACCAACCGCAACACCCTCCAAAGCCGTCATTCCCCACGCACGCTTCAAATTCACCCAGTCAACCCACCGCCCGCGATTTCCTGGAAGCTGTGCATCCTCGATAAAATACTCGTCCGCCCAGGTGGGCCAAAACGTGGTGTTGTAGAAGAAGAACACCTTGATGACATCTCCAAACCCAACGCGCCTTATGGCGCCTTGCTTTCTCGCAGAGAGCGCGGGAGAGAAGGTCACAACCCCGGCCTTGAGGACACCGAGAGGGAGCGTGATGATGGCAGCGTCGCCTGTGTACGAGCGGGTGGCGCCTGAGGTGGTATCCTTGCCGGTGATCTGCACTGCTCCCGAGCTTAGGCGGGTGATGGCAGTGACTTCAAAGTTGAGCACCAGCTGTGCTCCGGCGTCAGTGGCCTCCTGAAGAGGGAGGTGGGGGAAAGGGAGGAAAACTGGGATGGGAATGAGGGATGAGCTCAAATGGAGGGAGAAACAGAGGTTGAGATGGACATGACAGGGATTATGGGATAGAGGGGGAGTAAGGTACTGGGGGGTAGGGTAAGAGGTGGGGACGAAGGGGAGTGAGGAAGAGGGAGGTTGGAGAAGAGGTGGAATGAGCACAGAGGGAGCAAGCAAGAGAGAGAGTAGGGAAGTGGGAGTATGAAGAAGAGGGGAAGTGGGAGAGGGGGAGCGAGGGATGAGCTCACACAGACACACTCCCACGTAGCTTGATGCACATTTCGGGGATGCTGCCATAGCCACTGGAGCTACCAGATCAGGACGGTCAAACCCATGCACACGCCCACACACTTCCAAACACACTCACACACACTTCCAAACACACTCACACACACTTCCAAACACACTCTCACACACTTCCAAACACACTCTCACACACTCTCAAACACACTCCCTCAAACTTTCAAACACACTCCCAAACACTTCCAAACACACTCCCACACTTCCAAACACACTCCCACACTTCCAAACACACTCCCACACTTCCAAACACACTCCCACACACTTATAAGCACACTCCCACACACTTCTAAGCACACTCCCAAACACTTCCACACGCACTTACACACACCCTCACACACACTTCCAGACACACTCCCACACACTTCCACACGCACTTACACACACTTCAACGCACCCTCACACACACTTCCAGACACTTCCAAACACACTCCCACACACTTCCAAACACACTCCCACACACTTTCAAACACACTCCCACACACTTCCAAACACACTCGCTTCAAATGCGCACTCCCACACACACACTCTCACACACGACCCAGCAACCGGCCACACACCTCCATGAGCTTCTTGGGGATGTTATCGTAGCCGTTGGTGACCACCAGATCCGGCGGCTGAAAGGCGTCGTCCTCATAGTACCAGGCGGACAGAGTGGAGAGGTCGCCCGCGTACTCAAACTCCAAGTCCACTGCCACGCGCGACTGCCGCCAGCTCGGGAAAGCAAGGGGGATGAGTTCAGGATGGGGCTGCTAGATAATGGAGAATGGTTTTGGTGGTACTGGCAAAGAGGCGTGTCGTTTCTCTGCCCGCGTAGTACCAGGCAAAGTCGCTTGAGAGGGAACAGGCCAGTCCAAGGACTCAGGCACGACGTTCAGCGCCACCCGGGACACCAACAATCCTGAAAGAATGGGCGGGAGGCTTAGTACTTAGAATGACCTTTGACTGAATGCTGTTCATAGTACTTAAGCATGGGCTTTACGAGGGGTTTACATGAGAAAAGAAACATCCTGGTAGCAAACACGAATGCCAAAAAGCTATAACTCAGAGTTGTTCCAAAATCAACTTACCTGGAATATACCTGGATGTACGGGTATCGAGTCAATAGACATACCTGGGAAGTGCTCAATCGAAAGTCATACCTGGATGTACGGGTTCAGAAAGTTTCCCGCGGCTCGAAACGCCTTCTCCATCGAGATGTCGTTGTCCTGTTTATTCGCGATCTGCTTAGCGCGCTTCAACGCCCAGTCGTACTTGGCCGACGCGACTTTTAGCTGAAAGTCAGTGTAGGCCTTGCCGCCCGCGCGGTACTGGATCTCCTCGCCGTTCTGCTCGCCGATATTGAGCTTGAATCGGCGCGCAAGGGCCGTGATGGGGTTGCCTGTTGATGATTGGATCCACTGCGCGCCCATCTCGCCGCGAATCACGCCGCCGCTGCCGACGCCCACTGCAGGCGCGGGCTCCGTGCGGCTCCACATGCGCCCGCCCACGGGAGAGGGGGGTCAGTGGGTTTGCGGGGGAAGAGGAGGGAAGGGGAGAGCGCGCGCGGGGTTCAAGCACACTGCTCACGGTCGGACCGCATTAATAGCACCGAGTAACCCGCATGGATGAGTGCTCCCGACTTCACAAGTGCGCGTGCGCCCTGGCAGCGGAAATATGACAAGCATCACGAGCGACGCGCCTTTGAGGCGCTGCTCGCCGTAGCTGCGGCCCTCGCGGCGACTGTATGCGCGACTTGTCAGCGCATTTCGCGACGTACGTTGTTTAGCAGACGAGGCCCCAAGCGGACGAAGCGTGGGACTTCGAATTGCTTCGGTGCCCGCGACGCTTGTGGGAGCGTTCCTCTGCGAGGTCCACGACGCACCTTGAAACATTCCTCTTTCGGGTGGTCTGTTACGGAAACAGCGCCTTGAATGGCGGAAATCTTAGAAATCAATTATCTGGAATTCCGGAAATGAAGTGATTTGGGCAATTTTTGGCGGCTGGCGTGCGACGCACCTTGAAGCACTCGCCATTGGTGACGGCGATGTGTCGCGCCGCGGCGACACCCGAGATCCCCGCGCCAACGACCAGCACGTTCCGCACCTTGTCGCACGCGGCCTCCGAAAATCTAAACTGCAATTGCAGTGTGAAAATCACCGCGGGGATCAATAGCAAGAGCAGCAGCCTATGCCGACCCGGTGACGCATTTTGCAGACGAAGCATTCCCATGTCGACCACTGTCGCGAAAGCTCGACACTAAAATACCAAAGGTATGTTACTAGGTACCCTGGCACGACGCAATGGAGAAGTCAGCGATCGAAGAATTGCTCAGATATCGCTTATGACAGACTTGGGAGAGGGAATATTGTGGATAAACGATGTGGGAGATAGAATACGGTGCATATATATATGGCGCGATGGAGGGAGGGATGACTAGAGGACAGAGGAGCAAGCTATGAAATCGTCGAAGCAACAAACGTCTGATGACAGCACCAATAATTGTGCTGTGTTGAAGACCCATAGGGCGAAGAATTTGGCGTCGTGTTTTTGCGAGAAAGCGTGGGGAAGATTCTGGCGATAGATTTGGCGAAACGAAGACGCGAAATGTAAGGGCTGGGCGAGAATTGATGTGCGTTACTGTGCTATCTTATCTACATCATTTTACTTCGGGCTGCCTGAACCTCAATGCCTGGGCGAGATTTGACGAGCTTGCGAAGCGATGCAAGCCTTGTATCCACCACCGCTCTGCAATTTCGCAGCGTTTTCGTACAAGGAACACCACTATCTGCCAAACACACGTCATCTTCAATCAATTCCACGTTGGAACAAGGACGCATTTGTAGTCTGACAGTAGTACCCCCTAGCGGAGCCTTCTCGCTCGAGCGCACGTCTCAGCGCAGCCATCTCGCTCTATCGTCGACTCGCTCGCCACTCTCGCGTTGTCGCGTTCCCCTTTCCCGCGCGTCGCACGGCGGATGACCTCCGACCCGCTGCCTCCGGCTCCTCCTATAATGTCGTTCGAAGGCAGCACCCCTGCTATTAGTAGAACAGCGGCTGTTAGTAACGCGTTTTTTAGTAACGCTATTACCGCGTTTCTCGCTGCTGTCGCCGCGTTACTGTGCTATCTTATCTACGTCATTTTTATCAAGCCGCTGCGCTTCCGTCGGCATTTCACGAAGCAAGGCATTCCGTTTCTTCCATTCAGGTGCATTCTTTTTTCTCCTAAATAAGCGGCTGACACCACAAAGCAAGGCATCTGATTTCTTTCAGGCATTACCAGCCGTAGCGCTTCACCTGAACCCCTTCGAACGCGTTTCGTCGACAGTGCGCGAAGCAAGGAATTTGCTTCCATCCAACCTGAGAGGTCGACCGTCTTTCCTTCCATTCTCTGAGCTTCCATCTTCCTCGCTCCACCCTCCACATGTTTTCGCAGGCACTTCGAAATGAGTGGCGCATTCGCATCATTCACGCATTTCTAGATGCTCGCGCTTCACAAGGCTCTCAAGTCTCTCACGCCGCTCTCACGCGAGAGGCTCCCAAGCCTCTATAAAATGCAGCATTTCGTGCACCAATGTTTGTTTTGCGTCCCACCTTTTCCTCCCCCTTCCTCCCCTCCTTCGCTTTCCGTTCCTCCTCCCGTCCCTTCCCCTCGCAGGCCTCTGGTCGGTCAGCTTCCAGATTTCGCCAACCGCGCACCTAATCCCATACCTGCGTCCAAGCCTGCCCCTCTAGGTCCGGCAAGCCTCGGACCGCTGCTGTGGAAGTGGAGGTGCGAGCTGGGGACGGTCTTCGGCCTCTCCTTCGGTGCCTTCCAGCCCATCTTCATTGCCGAGCCCGACCTCTTGCACCAGGCATGGCCCTTTAATGGAGAAGTCAGGAACCTCTGAGGTATGAGCAAGGGGCGAACACGAACGTGTTCGTGTTCGCCCCTACACGAACACAGCCGTTTGCCGAACCGAACACTGTTCGTGTTCACCAAAAACAGGTCATTGATGTTTGCCTTATTCGTCCATGCCATTCCGAAAATGTTCTATGTGCTAGGCGTTTAGAGCAGCTAGAGGCGGTAAAGCAAGAAGAGTTGGTATTGCTGGGGACGGCCACTTCTGAATGCCGAGCCGGCCGGGTCCCTTACAGCAGGCATGTGACGTGGGTAAGTGATGTGGAGGAGGGAGGGAGAACAAATGCCGAAAACGCGATATTCACGTAAGTGCCGCCGGCTTCCTGGCCACCTCCTCTTCCCTACCCTCCCAACCCCGTTCCACTTCCTCCCCTTGCCCACTTCCCCCTTCCCCCCTCCAATCCTCTCGTCTCCATGGCTGCATGTGGATCATGGTGGCACAAGGATGAGAACGCCAGCCGGATGGTCAGCGTCTGTCTGTCCCTCTCCCCTTTCTTCCCCCGTCTAACACCCCTCTGCACGCACCCCTCTGTGTGTCAGATCATGGTGTCAAAGAACGCGTCGTTCCAGAAGGATCAGAACTCGCGGCGCACGGTGGACTTCCTGGCGAACGGGCTGGTGTTCTCCGAGGGCGCCTTCTGGGCGCGGCAGCGCAAGATGATCACCCCCGCCTTCAGCCCCGCCTCCATCAAGGTGACTCGCGTTCAGCCCCGCCTCCATCAAGGTGACTCGCGCGCAGTCGCACACACAACAGGTGCCAAGCAAGACGATCAGCAACGCATACATAAAGGTGACTGCGACGATGGGGGATGGTCGAACATACGACGGGGCAACAGCAGGTTGCCATGCAAGATAGTCAGCCCTTCTTACATCTAAGTGACTGTAACATCCCCGCAAGGTGCACAGCACAGTGCACACCATCGTTCATACCAGCAACAGCAGCAGCAACACTAACAGCTCCCTTCCTCTCCTCCCCCGCTTCCCCCCCTCTTATCCCATCCTTGTTCTCTCCTCTATCCCATCCTTGTTCTCTCCTCTATTCCATCCCCTTCCTCTCCTGTTATCCCACCATCCCACCCCACCACAGCACGCAGTGACGGTAATGAACGACCAAGCACGCAGGGCAGTGCAGCAGTGGGTGCACGCGGTCACCCACGGCAGCGACAGCAACGGGAGCAGGAGCGACAGTGGCAGCGGCGTGTGTGAGATTGACATGTATACCGCTTTCACGTCCCTCACTCTCGACATCATCGGCCTTGCTGCTTTTGGCAACACCGTCAGCAGCAGTGGGGCGGGCATGGGTGGCGGTGAAGGTGATGCCAAGGAGACGGAGGGGAAAAGGAGTGTGAATGGAGGAGAGGAGGAGGGGAGGAGTGTGAGGGAGGTGTATGAGGCGGTGGCTCTCCTGAGCACGGGAAGCACCAAGAGGATGTTTTCAGGCCGCCTCTTCATCCCCTTCTACACGTGAGTTGCACAAACGTGACTTCCCAGTGCAGTCACCTCCCAGTGCAGTCACCTCCCAGTGCAGTCACCTCCCAGTGCAGTCACCTCCCAGTGCAGTCACCTCCCAGTGCAGTCACCTCCCAGTGCACTTACGTGAGCCTCCCAGTGCACTTACGTGAGCCTCCACTAATTTTGAGCCTCCAGTGGGACCTCAAAGCAGGGTACTTCTTTCCGCCCTTCTATTTCTCTCATCCTCTCCGCCCCTCAACTGCTATTGGGGGCTGCTGTCTGTGCCATTGCCTTCTGCTCCCATCCCCGTGTGCCCATGCCCCCATGCCCATGTGCCCATCCCCGTGTGCCCATGCCCATGTGCCCATGCCCATGTGCCCGTGTCCAGATAACCTCAGCTGGCTTTCTACAGAGGCAATAAACCAATGTAGCAGGCAGTCTTTCTTGCTCTCTTTCTGCCCGTGCCTCCTCATGCCCGTGCCTCCTCCCCCCATGTGCCCATGCCCGTGCCTCCTCCCCCCATGTGCCCATGCCCGTGCCTCCTCCCCCCATGTGCCCATGCCCGTGCCTCCTCCCCCCATGTGCCCATGCCCGTGCCTCCTCCCCCCATGTGCCCATGCCCGTGCCTCCTCCCCCCATGCGCCCATGCCCGTGTCTCCTCCCCCCATGCGCCCATGCCCGTGCCTCCTCCCCCCATGTGCCCATGCCCGTGCCTCCTCCCCCCATGCGCCCATGCCCGTGCCTCCTCCCCCCATGCGCGCAGCTGGCTGCCCACGCGGGAGAACAAGGAGCTGCAGCGGGCAGCGGAGAAGGTCAGGCGCCTGTCTCTCGACCTCATTGCCACGCGCAGACACCAGCTGAAGGTGCGTGCTTGGGCTGGGGTGTGGGCTCATTCATGGGGCGGAAGTGGGGGGAACAGGAGAGGAGGGAGGGTCGCAGCGCAGGTAGCAGCATGGAGTGTGCTATGGCTGTCTCTGGAGGTGGGTGGTTGGTTGTTTGAAGGGGAAAGCGGAGGTTGGAGGATTAGGCGGGGAGCCGAGTGGTGCAGCAGGCAGGTGAGAGGGTGCTGGCATGCGCTGGAAAGGGGAGGTTGGGGAATCAAGTCGACTCATGCATGCACTATTTCGTTCCCTGGCTTTCCCAGCTCAAGGCCCCAACCACTTCTCCCCCTTTCTCCCCTTTCCTTCCCCCTTCTCCCGTTTCTCTGCCTTCCCCCCTGTCATCTCTCCTTCCTCTCCCAGGGCGAGCGGGGTGACGGCCTGTTGGCCGTGGTGCTGGCATCTGCTCGGCAACTCTTAATCTCCCATTCCCCCCACGCGCCACGCCCCATGCCCCGCGCCCCATGCCCCGCTCCCCATGCCCCATGCCCCATGCCCCACACCCCACGCCCCATGCCCTACGCCCCATGCCCCATGCCCTACGCCCCATGCCCCATGCCCCATGCCCCATGCCCCACGCCCCATGCCCCGCGCCCCATGCCCCGCTCCCCATGCCCCATGCCCCATGCCCCACACCCCACGCCCCATGCCCTACGCCCCATGCCCCATGCCCTACGCCCCATGCCCCATGCCCCATGCCCCATGCCCCATGCCCCACACCCCACGCCCCATGCCCTACGCCCCATGCCCCATGCCCCATGCCCCACACCCCACGCCCCATGCCCTACGCCCCATGCCCCATGCCCTACGCCCCATGCCCTACGCCCCATGCCCCATGCCCCATGCCCCATGCCCTATGCCCCATGGCCCATGCCCCATGCCCCATGCCCCATGGCCCATGGCCCAACATCCATGTGTCCATGCAAACTCAGGCGAGCCAGGGAAGGGCCTGCTGGCAGTGCTGATGGCGTGTGATGGGCAGTATTCCCCGTATCATCGATACCCCCTATCTCCCCTGCCTTCTTCCCCCACAACCGTGCTTCCCCTCACCTTCCTCCATCCAACCAAAGCTCCTCTTCCTTCCCTTGCTCCCTCTCCCCATGCTCCCCTTGCTCCAACCAGAGCGAGCCGGGGAAGGACCTGCTGGCAGTGATGCTGGCAGCGAGGGATGACGTCAGCAACGAGCAGATGACCGACCAGCAGCTGGTGGACGAGTGTGTCACGTTCCTCGTGGCCGGTATGCTGTGGTGCTGTGCGGTGCTGTGCGGTGGTGGGTGGTGGTGGGTGGTGGTGGGTGGTGATGAGTGATGGTGGGTGGTAGTATGCGGTGGTGATGAATGGTGACTTGTGGTGATGAGTGGTGGTGGAGCATGGGAGGGAATGTAGTGGTGGTGTGTGGTTGCCGGCCTGCAGCAGGTAGGCGAATGTGTGCCGCTGTTGCTGCAATCCGTCTCGTAGTGCTTGCTGCTGTTGCTCGTGTTGTTGGTGGTGCTGTCGGTGCTGCTGGTGCTGCTGGTGCTGCCAGTGCTGGCAATAAGTGCTCGTGGAATGCATGTGGAGATGGTGCTGTGGTAACGTAGGGAGACATGGGATAGTGTTTGCTGATGGGTGGTGATCGGTTCTGATGGGTGGTGCTGTGTGTGTGGCGATGTGGGGTGATCTGCTGTGAGTGAGCGTGGTGACGCAAGGTGATGGGTGATATGCGGTGATGGCTTTGCAGCGACTAGCACGCCAGTTGGTGGTGGTGGTGCTGCTGCTGGTGGTGGTGGTGGTGGTGCTGCTGCTGCTGCTGCCGCCGCAGGTGGTGCTGGTGACAAGTGCATGTAGAGATAATGCTATGGTGATACACGGTGATGTGCGGTGATGTGCGGTAGTGTTTGCTGATTGGTGGTGATCAATGCTGGTGGTTCATGGTGCTGTGTGTGTGGCGATGTGGGGTGATATGCTGTGAGTGAACGTGGTGCCGCAAGGTGATGAGTGGTGTGCGGTGATGGTTTTACAGCGACTGGTACACCAGTTGGTGTGAGTGAGACACAGAGGGGCATGCCTCCATTCTCCCATACTCCCATGCTGTTCCCACCCCTCCCACTGGCAGGCCACGAGACAACAGCCAAGCTGCTGACGTGGGGCGTGTACCTGCTGGCGCGCTTCCCTGAGTGGCAGCAACGGCTGCGGGAGGAGGTGTGGCAGGTGATGGGGGAGCATGGGGATGCAGAGAAAGGGGTGATGGAAGGTGGAGAGGAAGGGGAGAAGGAGGAGGGGGCACGGGGCAAGAAGGGAGGGGGCGGAGTGGAGGTGGCATGGGAGCAAGTGGCGCAGCTGAGGCAGATGCACATGGTGCTGCTGGAGACACTCAGGCTCTTCCCACCCACGCCTACCATCACCAGGGAGGCCAGCAAGGTAAGGCCAGCAAGGTGAGGCCAGCAAGGTGAGGCCAGCAAGGTAAGGCACACCCACGAAACGTACAGGCACACTCGTTGCAGCCCTTTGTGTCCTGTGTGTTCCTTCCCCCTTCATACATGCCCAGCCCTGCTGTGACTTGTGTGCGTCATGCCTGCCAGCATGACCATCATCATGCACCTCGCCATGCCCTACACCCACCCTTCCCATCCCTTTCCCCATGCCTCCCCATGCCTTTCCATGCCTTCCTTTCCCCATGCCTTCCCATGCCTTCCTTTCCGCCATGCCTTCCCATGCCTTCCTTTCCGCCATGCCTTCCCATGCCTTCCTTTCCGCCATGCCTTCCCATCCATCGTTTTCCCTATGCCTTCCTTTCTGCCATGCCTTCCCGTCCTTTTTCCCATGCCTTCCATTCCGCCAAGCCTTCCCATCCTTTTCCCCACGCCTTCCCATCCTTTCCCCCATGCCTTCCCATCCTTTTCCCCATGCCTTCCTTTACCCCATGCCTTCCCCCATGCATCTCCCCATGCCTTCGCCATTGCCGCATTTCCGCATTTCCCGTGCCCACCAGGACGTCTCCCTGGGCCCGTACAGCATCCCAGCGGGCACGCACATCATGATGTCGCTCGCCATGCCGCACAGCGACCCGCGCTACTGGGGGGAGGACACGCTCCACTTCAACCCCGCCCGCTTCAAGGGTACGCCTCCAGCCGCGCCTCATGCTGTTGCGCTGCAGTCACACCATCCATCTGCTGCTAGGGGGGTGGTCGGGAGGGAGGGAGGGAGAAGAGAGGGGGAAGGGGCTCACTCATCACAGTTAGGATTCACGGCGCAGCTGGCGCATCACACGGTCCTCTCTCCACACGGGTACTCGGTTCTCCGGCCTGGGTCTTTCCTTGATTCAGCTCACCCCACTGCCGTTCATTCCCTCATTGCCCTTAATCCTCCCTTGCCCTTCATCCCCCCCCTGCCCATCCTCCCCTCACCATGAGTCCCCACAGACGGCATACAGGGAGCATGTTCGCACCCACAGGCCTTTGTGCCATTCTCAGCGGGTCCCCGGGACTGCATTGGCTCCAACTTTGCTCTCACAGAGGCCAAGGTTGTGCTTGCGCATTTGCTCAGGCGCCTCCAATGGGAGCTCTCGCCCACATATGTACACCTGCCCAGTGTGGGAATCACGCTTACCCCTAAATATGGGATGCCTCTACGTATGAGGTTGGTGGAGTAGCTTGTTACTAATTTTGAACTTATCTATCACTTGTTATGTCTCATCTTTAAGCTTGTACTTGCAAATGTGTTACAGTGCTTCCTATTATGCACATGTTACCCTAAACTAAAACCCCAAACGTAAAAAAAATATGTGATGACAGCCATGCTTGAGGCTCAGAGAAAAGTGGAAATGGAAATGTATCTGTGACGGACCCAGCGTCTATGATGTAAAACATATTCTTGGCTTCGATCGAATGCGGTTACCATTCCAGTATGAAAATAGCAGAGAAATATGAGAACGTGTAGGATTGGAGAAATAAAATATGAATGCAATTGGGATCAATCAAATGAATGAAAATATAAAGTACGAACCCCTATGTAAACCAGAATAGAACAAACTAAAATGATTGATATCGTACACCCCAGACACTGTTTGTTGAATATCAGTGGATTCCGAACCTGGGTCTTGGTTTGGGAGAACCGTATCTGGGCTGAGGGCGTGTTGCTTCATGTGCAAGTGGGGTCCAAGCGCTGGACCTCGAAGCGGGTAACTCTGCAAATGTGAAAATACTAAGCACGAAGCAAAGTTGTGTAACTCGGGGTCAAGCGAATGAAATTGCCCAAACAATCCGCAGGATCGTCCAGTGAAGAAATGTACTCTGTCGCGCTGCTCAGGGGGATGCGCAACCAGAGACTCTCCCAAAATTTCAGATCTTGGACCTCGGTTCACCACGTACAAGTCACCAAGACCTCCTATGAATCTGCAAAACCACCCCACGACAGACTGAACCTCGTTTTGCACGACGCCCTAAAACTCCAGCTTCTGTGCTTCGAAGGCTCACCCATCTGGATAGGCAGCCTGCACGGGAGCGTCATCTGGGAAGCAGGAAAAGCGGCTCTCATGAGATTCTGGAGGGAACGAATGCTGAGGAGAAATCCAGGGGAAAACTGCTCAATACTCTCCAGATCTCTCGATCAACCAAGAGCCTTGTGAGCGTCTGGATCACGAGCAGCGTGCGGAACTGCTGCGATGTAAATATAGCAGCTGCTGAAAGCACAGGGTAGCCAAGTGAGCATCTTCCTGCTTGCGGTGTACACATTCTGCCGCAACGGTCTCAGCGTTCTCTTGCGATCGGTGATTGGGCAAATCCTCAACGGCAGCAACGGTCGCATCTAGCTGAGGTCGTCTTAGGTCAGAAAGAGCTCAACCATCCTTCCCGATCGAGCTATTCTTTACTCCTGGAAGCCGTGGTCTCAGCCATTCCACTCTGGCAAGGTTTTGTTAGCTTTACTAGAGCTACCAGTTGGTGCACGTGACGGCTGATAGCATGGACTCGAGTGGAACCCACATCCACGATCTCCTAGACGACGTCCTCATTCGGATCTTATGGCCTTCCACACCGTCAATCCCGTCAAGCCCGTACATATCCGAGAGCGAGGATCCCTGGAACCCTGTGGTGCCCACGCCCACGTACCTTGGAACAAGCGAAGAGCCATCATGGAACAAGCGAAGTGATTCTCCCATGCCGACGCCTCCTGCCTCCGCAGACGCCGCTCACAACCTCTTCATCGCCTCTATCTGCCGTCGCTGGCGGCGACTGGCTCAGAGGCACGTCTCGACGCTGCTCGTGAAGGATAACCGCGTCGTGTCTCACCGCGATGTGCTCAACGCGGTCGCCTGCTTTCCCCGGCTGACCCATCTGCATCTCTCGGATTTCAGCGTTGAGACGTCGGATGACGCGTTTCTAGCTGATCTCGCCCTTTCGTGCCCTGGGTTGAGAGCGCTGCACGTGGGGTGGGAGTACGAGGGACAGCATGGAAGGAATGGCCGCGTGATAACAGAATCGGGATTGGACTTTTTCTTCCGTCACTGCTCTCAACTGGAGAAGCTGTCGCTGTGCTGTCTCAAGGAAGATCTGAACCCACCAGCTTCGTTCTTCCAGCTTCAGCATCTGCGCACCCTCGTCTTGTCCACCGCCTTCATCTTAAAGTCTCCAGATCTCAGCTCTCTTTCGTCTCTCACAGCAGTCTCCATGGAAACCCCCGACATTCATTACAACCAGCTCTCCACCCTCCTTCAACTCACCAACCTCACGCGCCTCTCCTTGCCTGACGAGATCAACGTGATTTCAGCAGATCCGCCCGCCTTCTCGCTCGCACAGCTTCCTCTCCACTCGCTCAAGTTCGGACCGTGTGATGCGCACTTCAGCGTTTTTTTCCGTCCTGGATCGCCGTACAGGTTCCTGAAACGCCTGCAGCTTAGCTATTGCTTCAACCAGGAGCGGCTTCCAGACAATATCGGACAGGTGCTGCCGCGCCTCCAAGGGCTCAGCATCAACGAGTGCGGAGCCTTGAGCGATCTGACTGGCGAGATCACGTCGCTCACCTGCCTGGAGAGCCTGACTGTATGCCACTGCAGAGTGTACGATCTGCCGGAAGACTTTGGCCATCTTCCCGCCTTGAAAACCTTGGTGCTGAGCCGGCTGCTGCTCCGCACTCTCCCGGCCTCCTTCACCAGACTCGCATCTCTGGAGACGTTTTTTCTGGATTGGTGCGAAGACATGGAGGAGCTTCCTGCAGGGTTTGGTCGCCTCACAGCCCTCCGGTCTCTGAGCCTTGCAGGGTCGTCCATCTTGCAGCTTCCAGAAGACTTGGGCGGCCTGACCAACCTCCACACCTTCCATTTTGAGAAGAACAGCCTGGGGCAGCTGCTGTCGCCATTAGCGCAGCTGGCTTCGCTGACCAGGCTGGAGCTAAAAGGGTGCAAAAGTGAGCTTCCAGAGGGCATGGGGGAGATGACAAACCTGCAGGAGCTCTACATTCATCACTGCTATTCTCGTGAGCTTCCAGAGGGTATGGGGGAGATGACAAACCTGCAGGAGCTTTACATTCATTCCTGCTCTTATCTTAAGAAGCTTACGGAAGCTGTGACGTCGCTTGGCAGCCTTCGAGTGCTGAGGATCACAGAGTGTGAAAATCTCGTATCGGTTCCCAGGAGGTTGGATGGGCTAACCAGCCTGACGCAGTTGGAGGTGAGGGGGTGTTGGCGGCTGAACGAAGTCCCTCAGGCTCTGCCACTCAGTCTGCAGGCTCTCCGGTTCTCAGACAATCAGGAGATGGGGTCCATGCCAGATGTTTCAAGGCTTACAGGGCTCAGGGAGCTGTGCTTGCACACGGTGGACGCAGCCTGTATTGAGGCCATCGCCGAGCATCTCTCGAATGTGCAGCATCTGGAGCTGGAGCTCACAGCGGGTGCGGAGGAGTCTCTGTCCGCGCTGACCAGGCTTCCTCGCCTCCGCATCTTGACACTCGAAGGGGCGCGCAGTGTGAACACGCTGGTGGAGTGTGAGGGCTCGGGTTTGCAAGAGCTACGGCAGCTGAACATCTCCAGCATGAGGGGTGTTGGACTCACAGAGCTGCCTGCTGCCATCACCACTCTCCACCACCTCACATCCATTAAGATCAACGCGGAACACTTGTCGTCTCTTCCGCACTTCTTTGGGGCATTTTCAAGGCTGCTCAAGCTGGACCTATCCCACTGGTCATCCCTCGTGCATCTCCCTGCGTCTCTCACGCAGCTCTCCCGCCTGCATGAGCTGAACGTCAGCTTCACCAGCATCCGCCTTCTTCCGCCTGGCTTTGCTCAGCTCAGCAGGCTGAGGAGGCTTAATCTCTGGTACTGCAAGCAGCTAAAGGCTCTGCCTGACGACTTATCCGAGCTTAGAATGCTCGAGCACGTTTCTACTACAGGGTGTGACATGCTCCAGCAGTGACGTTTCTTTTGCCACTCATAAGCTTAGATGTCTAGTTGATGAAACTGCTTGCAACCATAGCAATACTCAGGTTCCATTACTCAAGTGAACTAATTTTCTGGCATTGGTTATGCTGACCCAGAAACGCTCTCAAGGTACACGTATATCAAATATATCATTCCCCCAGCGTCCCCTCCCTGACTCAAGGCTACATCGCAGCAGCACCACAGTGATGGGTTTTGCAAGAGAAGGTGCCCAATCCGACGTCTGCACAAGAATGGCGAATGAGGCACAAAGGATAAGCTAGCCACAACCACAGAAATGCCAATCGTCCTCCCACCTGAGGTGGGGGTATAAAAAAAAAAACGCTGACGGAGAATGTAGGTTGCTTGTAGGACGTAGTAGCATATGCTTTAAATGCACCCGGCTGATTCAAAATTGGGGGTACTCCATTTCTGCCCAGTGTTCCCCTCTCCCTTTTGCCTTCCTATCATTCTGAACCTCGAGTACTATTATCTTCCTGAAATTTGTCACCTCTGACTTCCCTTTCCCAGCAGCACTGCCAGCATTCACCTCACCCTGTTCGAAGCCTTGGTTGGCCACTCTCAGCCGTGTCAAGTCAAGGCAGGTCACCCCTCTGCATGCTCAAGGGCCCCAACCCACTCCGCAATTACCACACATTTCTCTCATACCCACCGCTCCTGTCATACCCCAACTCGTACCATGGTACCCCACCTCCCCCCCACACTCCTCTAATATCCACTCACACCGTTCATACCCCTCACTTCTCATCCACCCATTCCTAATATACCACCCAATTCTTTCACTCCTCCCATATCCAGCACTCCAATCATACCCACCACACCTGTCATACCCCCAACACCTGTCATACCCCCAACACCTGTCATTCCCCCAACACCTGTCATTCCCCCAACACCTGTCATTCCCCCAACACCTGTCATTCCCCCAACACCTGTCATACCCCCAACACCTGTCATACCCCCAACACCTGTCATACCCCCAACACCTGTCATACCCCCAACACCTGTCATTCCCCCAACACCTGTCATACCCCCAACACCTGTCATTCCCCCAACACCTGTCATACCCCCAACACCTGTCATTCCCCCCACACCTGTCATTCCCCCAACACCTGTCATTCCCCCAACACCTGTCATTCCCCCAACACCTGTCATTCCCCCAACACCTGTCATTCCCCCAACACCTGTCATTCCCCCAACACCTGTCATACCCCCAACACCTGTCATTCCCCCAACACCTGTCATACCCCCAACACCTGTCATTCCCCCCACACCTGTCATTCCCCCAACACCTGTCATTCCCCCAACACCTGTCATTCCCCCAACACCTGTCATTCCCCCAACACCTGTCATTCCCCCAACTCCTCTCAATCCCCCCACTCCTCTCATTCGCCCCACTCCTCTCATTCCCCCCACTCCTCTCATCCCCTCCACTCCCCTCATTCCCCCCACTCCTCTCATCCCCCCACTCCTCTCATTCCCCCCACTCCTCTCATTCCCCCCACTCCTCTTATCCCCCCCACTCCTCTCATTCCCCCCGCTCCTCTTATCCCCCCCACTCCTCTACTTCCCCCCACTCCTCTCACCCCCCCCACTCCTCTCATTTCCCCCACTCCTCTCATCCCCCCCACTCGTCTCATTCCCCCCACTCCTCTCATCTCCCCCACTCCTCTTATTCCCCCCTACTCCTCTCATTCCCCCCACTCCTCTCATTCCCCCCACTCCACTAGTTCCCCGCACTCATCCCAAAATTCCCATTCCACCCATAACCCCCACTCCTCCCATTCATGCTCTCCTGCCCCCGACTTTTTCACATTCCCGCCATTCCTCTCATTATCTCACACTCCTCTCATACCCCTCACTCGACATAACCCCCAATCCTTTCATACTTCTCAAACATCCCACAACCCCCGCTATTCCTCCTCTTATACTCCCCTCTCCTCTCATACCTCACTCCTCTAGTACCCTCACTGCTCATACCCCCCACCCAACGCTCTCATACTTTCCACTCCTCCCATATCCCGCTGTCCAGTCATGCAACCCATTCCTGATAAACCCTCCGCTCTTCTGATGCCCCACACTCCTCTCATACAACCAGATTCTCTCATGCTTCCCACTCCTTTCATACCCGCCTCTCTTCTTGTACTCGTCACTCATCTCATACCCCATATTCCTTCCCTATCATACCCCCCACTCCTCTCATACTTCCCATTCCTCCCATACCCCCTACTCCTATATTATCCCCCTCCTCTCATTCCCCCATTCCTCTCATACCCCCCACTTCTCTCGTAACATCCTCCCCACTCATAACCCTTACTCCTCGCATCACCCCCACTCATCTCAAGTTTTCCATTCATTTCATACCCCCAACTCTCTCATACCATCCACTCGTCCCATAATTTCACACTTCTCATACCCCCCAATCCTCGCATACCTCCTCTTCCTCTCAAACTTCCTACTCCAAAACCTATCTCAAAACCCTAGGTCCTCTCACAACTCATTTCTCTCTCAGCCTCCAAGTCCTCTCATACCCCCAAGTATGCTCATACCCGACACTCCTCTCACCACCCCCACTCATCTCATTCCCCCCACTTCCCTCAACCCCAACTCCACTCATTCCGCCACTCCTCTTGTACCCCCAACTCCTCTCATACCCCCCATTCCTCTAATACTCACCACTCTCCTCATACCCCCAAATCCTCTCATCATACCTCCCACAGGCTCTCCCTTCCTTCCTCTCAAAACCCCCACTCCCCCACTTTTCTCATAACTCCACACCTCTCATATCCCCCACTGGTCGCATACTCTCCAGTCGTTTCATAACCCATTCCTCTCTTACCCCCTTCTCCTGTCATATCCCCCACACATCACACACACCATATCAACTCCCCTTATAATCCCCACACTCCTCACACAACCCCCATTCCTCTCAAACCTCCAACTTCTCTCATACCCCCTCCCTCATCCCTCATTCCCCTCATATCCCCCATTCCTCTCATAACCCTGCTCCTTTCATATTTCCACATCTTTCATGCCCTCACTCTTTTGATAAGCCCCACTCCTCTCTCCCCTCATACCCACCATTCCTCTCATACCTCCCACTCCGTTCGATCCCCTAACTCCTCTCATTCCCACACTACTCTTATAACCCCCACTCCAATCATAACCCCCAATCAAATCATAGCCCCCTCTCCGCTCATATCCCCCATGTTTAAACGCCCACACTCCTCTCATTCCCCCCACTCCCCTCATACCCCCCACTCCTCTTATACAACCGCTACTCCTCTTATACCCCTCACTCCTCTCACACTCTCTATTCGTCTCATGACATGCACTCCTCTTAAACCCCCAATCCTCTCTTTCCCTCCACACCTCTCACACCCCCCATTCCCCTCGAACCCCCACTGTTCGTAGAATCCATTCGTCTCATTCAAACCTCTCCTCTCACACCCTGATGCCTTCTTGTAATCCCCACCCCTTTCACCCGCCCCCAGCCACTCCAGTCACACCCCAACTCCTCCCATAACTCCCAGCAGGGCTTCACTTTGGTTTTGGGGGTGGCTGATTGATCACCTGAATCAACCCTTCTATGTTGACATCTGAGGCCCTCCCACTCTTGCACTCCCCAATCCTCTCATACCCTTCACTCCTCTCATACCCCTCAATCCTCTCATACCCCCCACCCCTCTCATACCCTCGAACCGTCTCATGCTTCCCTTTTTTTCAGATAATTGAGTTATGGAAGGTGCACCTTGAGCGGTGCACCGTTGGATAGGCATTTTAAGCTGTGAGTTTTTATGCATTCCTTTTAAGAGAGGGGCTTCTGAAAAAATGAGGTGTGATACGAAAGAAGCATTTGAGATATAAGTTTTCAGAAATGATATCTTGGAAAAGGCACTTTCGAAAACACACTCTCCATTTTTTTTTTATGTTTTATGTGATATGCATAACTAGCTGCGTTAACTGAATTTTTTGTAAAAAAAAAAAAATCATTAAAAAAACAAATTCTGGAAGTAGGATATAGGGCCCTTTGGTAAGGGTACCGTATTCTCCCGGACGGAACACCCTCTGAAACTGTACACTCCCGGGTAGCTTGTGCGGGGTGGGTGCTATAGGCGACCTCGTTTGTATAATAACCCCATTTTGGGGTGATTTTCTATAACCCCCCCCCCCCCCCCCCCCCCCCCCTTTCATATAGATTTCTGATTATAATAGCTGATAACGAGTAGGTGCAAGCAGGGTCCTAGATATCAGACTTTTTACTCTGATTCAGAGTTCATTCAGGCTTTTTTTTTTAACCTAGTCTGAACTCCTATATATATATACATATATTTTTTTTTTTTACTTGTCTGAGTTTCCAGAGTTTTTTTTTGTTACAATGTTTATATTGTGTAGGCTGTAGTGAGGTAGCCCATAAGGGGTACAACCCAATTAGGGTTAGTGGTTGTACCGAAATCTATTCTCAATGCGGACATTCTCGCTTAGTCTTCTGACATGGTTTTAGAGCAGGTCCTGTTCCAGGACCGTTTTTTATAGGGCCCACCGTACAGTTCCCTGCCCGTAGCACATTACCCTGCCCGTAGTGCCCTACCCTGTCCGTCGCGATGCCCCACCAGTCGCGCTCCTCTGCCCGCGCGCCGCCCTGCTGGCTGCCGCGCTGCCTTGCCCTGCCCTGCGTTGCGCTGCGCGCTCTGCCCTGCCCTACGTTGCGCTGCCTAGCGCGCGCTCTGCCCTGCCCTGCGTTGCGCCGCCCCGCGCACGCCCTGCCCCGCGTTGCGCTGCCCGCGAACGCCCTGCCCTGCGTCACGCCGCCCTGCCCCTGCTGCCCGTCGCGTCGCGCGCCCCTGCTGCCCGTCGCGTCGTGCACCCCTGCTGCCCGTCGCGCCGCGCGCCCCTGCTGCCCGTGGCGTCGAGCCGCCCATGCGCTGAAAGTATACAGCGATTTCATCATGCTCACCTGCGACGGCATCAATGGCGAGAAGTATACTCTCACCTTCATCGACGCCTACTCACGTCATGTATGGGTCGCCAACGTCGACGCACGCTCCAAGGCTCCAAAAGTATTCCGTATCTTCCTCGCGCACGCGCAGCGCCAATCAGGAAGAAAACTGAAGATCTGGTAGAGTGATGGGGCAAAGGAATTTCACAGCAACGAGCTGGAGAGCGTCCTCACCGAGAAGGGGATCAAGCATGAGATTTCTCTCCCCTACGCTCACCAGCAGCAAGGCGTCGCTGAAAGGGTCAACCGCACTCTCATGACAAAAGTCTGCGCCATCATGAACCAGTCCGGCCTGCCAAAGAAGTTTTGGCCCTACGCCATGAACCACGCGGTGCGCCTGCACAACCTCCTCTCCACTACCGCCAACAGGGAAAACCTGTCCCCTCACATGAAGTGGACCGGCTCAAGGGGAGACCAATCCATGTTGAGGGTTTGGGGGTGCATGGTGCAATATCGGCCCACTTCGGCTACAATCGGCAAGTTCGTTCATCGTGCGCGCTGGGGAGTTCATCTGGGGTTCAGTCACGAGCACAAAGGGTGGCTCATTCTTGACATTGACAGTAACGAGATTGTTCCTGCGCGTGACATTCTCTTCTACGAGCGGCTCACCCTAAAGCAGTGGATCGAGGACGAACGCCGCAACCAGGCACGAGGCTACGCCAACAGCGGCCGCAGCTTTGCGACACCAGAAGACGAAGCAGCAGCAGCAGCACTGGACCGCGACGACACCGACGAGCATCCCAGCATCCCGCCTCGCCCGCGCGACGACGACGACGATGACAGCGACGATGACCCTGCGCCAGGACCATCACGGCGCCAAGCAGAACCAAGCACCGAGGCACCCGGCTATGAGAGTGGAGACGACGACGTGGTGGAAGTCACCACCACCAATGTGTCAGGCCTTCAACTTCTCGGCCTGCACACATTCGTCTCTACTCTTGCACGGGCTGTGGAGCCAAAGAATCCTCGCCAGGCCCTAACCGGTCCTCACGCCAAGGAGTGGCGTGCTGCGATGGATGCGGAGCTAAAGGCGCTGGAATCTCGTGACACCTGGGTCCTAGTCGATCGTGCAGCAGTGAAGGGGAGGAGGGTACTAAACGGAAAATGGGTTTTTCGCCTCAAAACCAACGCTGACGGCACTATCGAGCGCTTCAAGGCACGCTGGGTCATACGCGGTTACGATCAGCGCCATGGCATCGACTTTGATCAGACCTTCGCTCCCGTCAGTCGTCACACCTCCGTCCGGATTCTACTCGCCATTGCCCCGCTAAGCACCTGCCACTGCGACAGATCGACGTGAAGAACGCGTTTCTATACGCGTTGGTGGACGCCACCATCTTTGTGGAGTAGCCGCACACCTATGGAGAAGGAGATCCCAGGGTCTGTCAACTGAAGAAGTCCCTCTACGGGATCAAGCATGCGCCTCGCCTCTGCCAGCAGCATCTGCACAAAATCCTCCTCGAAATCGGCTTCAAACAGCTTCCACACGACCCGGGAATGTATCGCCTTCACTTCAGTTGCGACTACATCCTCCTGACAGTCTACGTCGACGACCTGCTGTACACGGGCACCTGCAACAAACTCCTCGATCAGTTTCAGAAGAACCTGGTGCAGCGCGTGGATATCACCATCAACCTCGAAGTGAAGCCGTTTTTGGGGTTAAACATTACTTACGCGCCAGAAGCAATTCATATGTCAGCCTCCAAGTACGCAGAGCAGCTAGCGGAACGCTTCAACATTTCCCCCGCATCACTCTCGACTCCTTACCGC